CAGCCCACACCGGAAGGCCACACAGCCGGCCCACGCTGGGACCCCCACAGCCAGCCCACACCGGAAGGCCACACAGCCGGCCCACGCTGGGACCCACACAGCCGGCCCACGCTGGGACCCACACAGCCGGCCCACACCGGAAGGCCACACGGCCAGCCCACACTGGGACCCACACAGCCGGCCCACACTGGGACCCACACAGCTGGCCCAGGCTGGGACCCACACAGCCAGCCCACACCGGAAGGCCACACAGCCGGCCCACACTGGGACCCACACAGCCAGCCCACGCTGGGACCCACAGCCGACCCACGCCGGGAGGCCATACAACTGGCGCCACACCGAATGACTTGCTCTTCCCCACGCACGCCCCCTCCCTCTTTGTACCCTTTTCTACAGGCGGTTTCTCCTGCCTGGGCTGTAACTCCCCTGTTGTCCAGCCTAGTAAATGCATACTTGTTTTCTGTGTCTTGGTTTGGACTTCTCTGTCCTTGGAAAACCCTCAAGGGCACGTGCCATGCTTTGCTTTATGTTCCCATTAAAAACACAAAACAAAACAAAGAACAGTTGCCATGGAGTTGACCCTGACCCATGGCGACCCGGTGTGTGTCAGGGCTCCATAGGGTTTTCAAGAGCTGATTTTCTGGACATAGATTACCAGGCCTTTCTTCCAAGGTGCCTCTGGGTGGACTTGAACCTCCATGCAACCTTTCGGTTAGCAGCCTAGAGCTTTACTCGTTTGCACCACCCAGGGACTCCTGTGTTCTTATACTCGTTGCCATCGAGTCCATTCCGACTCATAGTGACCCTAAAGGACAGAGTAGAACCGCCTCATAGGGTTTCCAAGGAGCGGCTGGTGGATTCGAACTGCCAACCTTTTGGTTAGCAGCCGAGCTCTTAACCACTACACCACCAGGGTTTCTTGTGTTCCTACAGCTCACCTCTATTCCCATCACTCTTCACAAGTCCTCAGGCATATGTGCTTTTCAGTCTGTCCCCACCACTGGACGGTGACCTCCCTCCACAGCTCTATGCAGAACACCTGGACAGCTGTGCCTGGTGTTGACATGTTCTCGCAAGGTACTGTTGAATGAATGAATGAACAGAACCCCCACGGATTTCCGTAGGCATATATGGCATCGTAACAGGCACGTGTGCATGAGTATGTATATAGGTACCTGTGTGAAGACAGCGCCTTAAAAGTCTGTGGAATGGGTAGAAGAGTAGGAGCATAAAGAAGTGACTGCGTGGATATATGAGAAGGAGAAAGTCTGTGAGTGGGGCATTGTTTGACTTGTAAATCTGTCAGTGCGGCAGCAGCAGGGACTGAAAGCAAGTGTGTCTGGTCTGCGTGTGAGACAGCGAGAAGGAAAATGCCTGGGACAGACAGTGGATGCCAATCCCAGCAAGGCTGCTTCAGCTGCTGCTACATCCCACAGGTAGCTTCGTTACCGTCACTGTCTGATCCCCCAAAGACCTTCCTCTTCTTGGTTAACCTCCCAGGCTGTGGGGTCAGGGCGAAGGAGTAGAAAAGAAAATGAGGGAGTTCTTGTGGGGGTATCTGTTGCCGTGACTCATAGTGACCCTACAGGACAGAGTAGAACTGCCCCATAGGGTTTCCAGGGAGCAGCTGGTGGATTCGAACGGCCAACCTTTTGGTTAGCAGCCATAGCACTTAACCACTGCACCAGCACGGCTCCTTTGGAGGTGCTGGGCCTTAAATGAATGTCTGCAGATAACTTCCTGATCTTTTCTTTGAAGAGAACCCTGCAGGCTAAATAAAAGTCAAGCCCTTCGGGCACAATCATTATTCTCCCTCCCCCTCCCCCTCCTGAGGGTGGGGCTGGGGTCCAGTGGTCATCTTGAAGTGGCACCACAAAGAGGAAAGAGAAAGGACAGGAATCAACCAAGAAGAGGACGAATGAGAGAAGATGGGAGAAGGGGAACTGAACAATCCCGGGGGGTAGCTATGCCTGTCATGCCGCAGTCCTTCCGGATTCCCTCTTCAGGCAAGAAAGGTTGTGTTTTGTCTGTAAACGACCTGGTTTTCTCTTTCCTTTCATGTTTGGACCTGACATTCCGACCTCACTCAGGGCGTCCAGGCCGAGGCTGAGACCTGGTGGGCTCCTGGTTTTTCAGGGGCCACCACAGGCCTCTCAGCTGCTGCCCTCCACTATCTTGGGAGAAAGAGGCCCCCGCCCTCCTGGTGCTCCTGGTCCTGCACCTCCCCTTTGGTATGGAGAGAAGCTGAGGGCTCTGGGAACCCCCTTCTACCTCTGCAACCCTTTCCTAGAAGAGCTGCAGGAACTGGGGGTGGGGAGCCCCACGAGAGAGATGCCAGTGAACCAAGGACAAACCTGCCCCCAGGTGGACGCCCCACGCCTCCCCCTCCCGCCCTCCAACCCCTCCCTCTGCATGGTATCCTTCAGGAGGGACAGTCTCCAGGCTGTGGCAGGCTTCTGACACTTTTTTCTTCTTGGAAATGAAAACCCTCTTCCGGCCGCATGGCAGGAAAGCAGAGTCCCGTGCCATGACAGCTGGTGGGAGGCCTGGGTCTGGCCAGGCTGGGCAGGGCGGCTGCGGAGGGCAGAGCAGCCAGGCCTGCGGGGGCCATGGCCTCTTACCTGCTGTTGAACTTTTCAGGGTGTTTCTCTCTCATCAGGTGGAATCTGTGCGCAATTGAAGCATCCTGAAAGGGCAAGAGAGGACAGGAGAACCTGGGTCAGTGGCCATGCCTCCCAGACCCCAGGCCCCATCTCAGACAGAACACCCAGCCTCAGACAGAAGCCGAACATCATGTCCAAGGCTGCAAGCCAGTGTCACGAACGCCTTGAGAGCCCATGTCAGCTGGCCCAGAGCCCTTGCAACGTTCACTCCACGCCTGGCTGGTGAGAAGCCGGTAGTTCAAGAGTGAGCCAAGGGGATGCCCGGGTCCTTTGAAGAGAGAGAGGGTCTCTGCAGGCAGGCAGCGTGCAGCAGCCTGTGGGGGGTGCTGAGCGGGAGTTTTTGGAAATGCCTGGTCATATTACCTCTTTTTTAAAAAATACTTTTTATTTTGAAATATTTTAAGACTCACAAGAAGCTGCAAAAATAGTACAGAGAGCTTCCCCAGTGCTAACATCTTACATAAGCACTGCACGTTGTCAAAACCGGGAAGTTGAACATTGGTATGAGGCTGTTCTCCATTAGCTCTTAATCAGCCGGATGAGTAGGAAGAATTAGTGGCATTGGGTAATCCTAAAACAGCAACAAAAAAAACCAGTTGCCGTCGAGTAAACTCTGACTCACGGCGACCCCATATGGGTCAGAGTAGGACTGTGCTCCATAGGGTTTTCAATGGCAGAAATTTTGGAAGTAGATAGCCAGGTCTTTCTTCTGAGATGCCTCTAGGTGGGTTCGAACCGCCAACATGTCAGTTAGCAGCCGAGTGCATTAGCCGTCTGCACCACCCGGGGACTCTATACCTCATCAAAAACCAGAAAAAACAAACTTATTGCTGTCAAGTCGATTCCAACTCACAGTGACCCTCTAGGACAGAGTGGAACTGCCCCGTAGGGTTTCCAAGGTTGTAAATCTTTACGGAAGCGGACTGCCACATTTTTCTCCTGTGGAGCATACTTCGTTAGTAGATAATTAAAAAGTGTGTATTCTATTTTCTGGCTTCTGCTCCTTGTCACTCCACTGAAATGACTCTTTCCAATGTCAGTAAGAGTCTTATTACCACATCCTATGGACACTTTGAGGCCCTGGTGGTGCAGTGGTTAAGCATTCGGCTGCTAATGGAAAAGGTCAGCAGTTCGAATCCACCAGCTGCTCCTTGGAAACCCTATGGGGCAGTTCTCCTCTGTCCTATAGGGTGGCTATGGGTTGAGATCCATTCCACGGCAATGGTTTGGGTTTGGGTATGGACACTTCACTGTGCTACTGACCACCTGCTCCTCTGAACTCACAGTTAGGACGGCTCCCATGGCACTGTGCTTCCGGCTCTCCACCCATGGACCAGGCTCCCTTAGCCATGAACAGTGATGTTCCCCTGAGCTCTGTGGTTCACATGCCCCTGGAAGGGCCACATCTCAACAACTCTCAGTTCTCGATGTTGATGCCTCCACAGCGGGTATCTCCAAAAACAACCCTACGCTTCAAACCTAAAACCGAACTTGTCCCTCCTCCCCAGACGGAGCCTTCCACCCTTGATGGTGGGCTCCTTCTCCAGCAGAAGAACCTGTGTTGCCCCTCCACTGCTCAGGGCCCGTGACCAGCACTTGGGATGCAGGAGCTGGGCTTTGGACATAAGCAGGCCAGTTGGGCTGGAGGGGAAGGCAGCACAGAAAAAAGGGAGCTGATTCAGATGCGTGCAGGAAAACAAAAAAAAAGGCACAAATACAGAAACTCAAGCACTAAACTAGGTAACTAAAAGAGACCTGAATTCCAGGCAGTGCGTTTTCTGCTAATGCATATTAAACCCGTTCCTTGATACGGAAATGCTGTAAATGACAACATATGGCCGTTGATTATTCTTTTTAACATCGGGAGGTTCAGTGAGTAAGCATTTTTTGAGCATTCAGGGGGAGCGGTGGGTGAAATACAGGCTGACGGTGGGGACAGAAGGTTCAGAGGCAAGTGCGGGGACAAAGAGGAGGTTTTCTATGGTGCAACCTGTGAGAGCCAGAACTCGATGGGACGGCCTGGTTTTTTCGGGTCTTGAAAGTTTTCTGCCTTTGACAGGGTGCAGTCTTACCACTTTTAGTGGAAAATATTTGCGTTTTCCTTCTCTGAAGGTTTCTGCCTTACACAGGTTCCGGCTTTCACAGGTTTTACTATAACATTTGCATGTGGCGTAGGAGTCACCCCAGCACGCATTGTAAGTGAGAAGAGCAATTCAAGAAAATAGGCTTAATCTGTGGTTGGCAAAGACTCTTTGCTGAAATAATGTTCTGGGAACTTAGCATTTAAATTTTAGCTGTTGAATTGTAATTTCGTTTCATTTTTTAGTTTAAGACACAACAAGAGTTGAAGGTCTTGGTGAGGCGCCCCTCTGGATGTACAGCGGGAGGTGGGCAGACCCCGGGGCGGCCTTTCTCACTGGGGCCCATCCAGCCTGCACAGCTCTGGAGAAAGCAGAGCTTCACGCCCCTAGTCTGGGCCACCGCCTCTCTCCGAGCTTCAGTGAATAAGATTCATGTGACATGCATCAAACGCTTCTCGAGAATTCAAGAAAACATTCCACCGGCTTGTATTCTTTTGAAGCACCAATTTTCTTCCGTCAGGGGAAAAAGAAAAAAAGCAATCACATGCTGCCTGGCACGATTTGTACTTTACTAGCCCCTGGCCCCCAATATTGCTGTGACTGACTTTTTTTTCAAAATTCTCTGGAATATGCACACAGGTGCCCTCCCCCGTGTAGTTGCTCTGATTGTCCTTGGTTTTTTCGTATCGAGGTTTATTCCATAGGTTTAGCAAAGCTTCTTTTCACAGAGACTAGCCTTTACAATATTATTAATTAAGCTGTGTGATTAAGACTTTGAAAATGTAGCCTGTTGGTAAATACACAAGGTAACAGAGAGAACTGATCGGCTCCTTGGCTGTTCATGTCTCGCAAAGGCAAAGACGGTAAACACTCTGATTGTGTTTCTCTACCGGGGGATTAAGAAGGGAGTCAGGATTCACCTTCATCCTCCACTGAGCTGCTCTGTGCAGGCCACTGAACTGGCTGTATTTACACTCAGGAGTCACTGCATTTAGATTTTGGAAACCAGTGCTACCAGGGGCCAAATCCTTCTTTGGTAATAATCACAGCAAAATGAGGCTTCACAAGAAGAGAGAGCGTCCTGCCCTATCTTGTCTTCCTCCTTCAGCTGTAAAAATCTCTTCTGAAGATGGAAGGTGGGAGTTGGAAACCCATAAAAGTGATGAAGTTGGCATTCCTGATGGCCTGTCTATGCGGGGGCTTTTCTATGAGGTGTTGGGTGAAAAGGAGACAAGGAGAGACATGGACACCAGCTACTCTCTCCTGAACTCAAACTCCAGGCACACGGTTGGATGAAGGGTGTTTGTGCCCCTTGGGAGCCCTGGTGGTGCGCAGTTAAGAGTTCAGCTGCTAATGATAAAGGTTGGCAGTTCGAATCCACCAGCTGCTCCTTGGAAACTCTATGGGGCAGTTCTACTCTGTCCTATAGGGCCAGTATGGGTCGGAATGGACTTGATGGCAATGAGTTCGGCTTGGTGTTTTAGTTACTCGGACTCTGAAATATTGGCCTGTCTAGGCAAGCGCTGTACAATAGAAATGTAACGTTTAAGAGACATATGTAATTTAAAATATTCGTAGTAGCTACATTAAAAAAGTAAAAAAAAAAAAAAGATCAAATTTAATTTTAATAATATATTTTAATTAACCTAATATACCACAAATATTATCCTAATAACATGTCATGTAATCAATAGAAAAATATTAATGAATTATTTTAGATTCTTTTTTTTCATACGAAGTTTTCAACATCTGCTGTATACTTTACACTTACAGTACATGTCAGTTGGGACAAGTCATATTCCAAGTACATAATAGCCATGTGTGGCTAGTGGCTACCATGCTGGACAATGCAGGTCTAGGTCACCTTGGCAATTTATGGAGATAATAAGAGAAAGGAGGCAATCGAACAGGTTCTTTGAAATTGGGATTGTTCTGAAAATTTCTGAAAGAGTGGGGAACGGAAAAGAATGTGGACCACTTGCCAAGACCCCCTTCCATGAGTCCCACTGTCTATGTAAGTTTATGGCTCTTACAGGTGAGATAAGAACCTGATGTTGAGGGAATTGAAGAGTTTGCAGAGAAAACGATGCTTCTTGACCCATTTGCCAGTGGGTAGAAGGCTTATCATTGTGGAAACCTGGCTGGTGAAGCCTAAGAAGTACGATGTGTAAGGTGGAAGTGGTGTGTGGATTAGTGTGACAGGCCTCAGCCTCTCCTCGGCCCCTGGGTTCCCCTAGCATCAGAAATAGATTTCTTTGAATCAAGGGATTAGCTGTTCACTTATCCTGTTAAGGCTTGGTGAAAGCAGAGCCTTTGAGGGCTTCAGAGTTACACATAGCCCAGGAACTGTTCTGCAGTCTCAAACTTCCTGTCACTGATACCTGGCCATCCTGACATCTCTGCAAATCCAAAAATAAAGAGCAGGGAGGAGGAGGCCAGAGAAGTCAGAGGAAGTGGTGTCTTGAATGACTATGTTTAAAATCTCCTGCCAGTGCGTATCATCATTTAAAAGGACTGATAAGGCCAACTCTCTCAACCCCCTACTGATGAGAACCTGGCATGTGGTTGATTAGAATGAGGTGGTATGGAGGCCAAGGCCATAGTCACGCTCTGGATAGGCTAGCAGAATCTGTCAGAATTTTTTTATTGTGATTTAGATGAAGGTTTACAGAACAAATGAGTTTCTCATTAAACAATCAATACATATACTGTTTTGTGATATTGGCTGCAAATCCTGCAACATGTCAACACTCTCCCCTTCTCGACCTTGGGTTCCCCGTTTCCATTCGTCCAGCCTTCCTGTCCCCTCCTGCCTTCTCATCCTTGTCCCGGGTGGTGTGCCATTTAGTCTCGTATACATGATTGAGCTACATGTATTATTGTTTGTTTTATGGGCCTGTCTAATCTTTGGCTAAAGGGTGAACCTCAGTACTGAGTTAAAA